GCATGAAATGTATAGATAGTCGATATTAACAGGACTGGTATAATGTCCCTCCTGTCAATTAATTCACAATGCTATAATTGTCACCTGTCACGTAACACAATATGGGCAGGACAGGGGAAATGAAGTCTCAAGTTTTGGTTACAAAAGAGCTAAATAAAATATTTTGAACATTTAAATATCAATGTTGAGAACACTAGAAACATAATGCTTTAGAAGGATTTGATAATTTTTGAATTCTAGGAAAATAGTTTCTAACTTGCATAGAACCCCCAAAATGTGATGCAGTCTCAGCAGTTGGCAACAATTTCACTGATCTTGCCTGGGCTCAAAATCCAAAATGCATCGGGCTCGGATGAAAGACCACCAGGAAATTGCAGGGCTATATGTCAAATGGGGAAGTTTTAAAAAAAATCCCAAAGGAAAGCAAAGGATTAAAAATTCCTGTAATATTGCCAAACACACTGCAATCTTGTATGCATTTATCCATCAGGAATGGAAATTGACTTGAGACTATCTTACATATACATGTACATATCCACATATATCCCAACGACTAATGCATGCGTCATCCACACAAGCACCACCTAACTATACAAAGTTCAAATTCAGTGCCACAGCTTTCCATAGCGCAAGTGTTTTTTTTTAAATCTGGGTTTATTGCCCCTTTTCAAGTCTGCTCTATCTTATCTAATATTGCTGCAATCTCTGTTCAGCCAAGAGGTTTTCAGTGTTTTGAATTACCGGCAAATCCCAACTTCTATCTGAAGCCTACTAACCTACCTGGAAATCGCGTTCCTCTCTTATCTGTCTGTCTTCCAGCTTCCAAAATTCAGAGGCGGATTTACTTGCTAAGACGCTATAAAATAATTAATCAACAAACCATCATTAAGTGGGTGTCAACTAGCACACTTGGGCTGGTATAACTGGTTCGTTTTTGACAGCTTATGCCAAAACCTGTCAGAGCTTTGTAATTATCTTGAAATATCAGATCAACGCCCTTTTATTTTAATTTTAATGATTAACTTAATCATTTCCAAGTGGGGTGGATTGTAAGCAGCCGGGAGAATACTGCGGTTAGAATGCAATTCATTGTTTCAGAGATGGCATGTATTGGTAGTTCTCGATTTATGACCACAATTGAGCCAAACATTTCTGTTGCTAAGTGAGACAGTTAAGTGGATTTTGCCCCATTTTATGTCCTTTCTTGCCACAATTGTTAAGAGCCAAGGTGGCGCAGTGGTTAAATGCAGCACTGCAGGCTACTGCTAGATCAGCAGGTCAGCGGTTCAAATCTCACCGGCTCAGGGTTGACTCA